ATATACGTAAGTGCAGACAACGTGGCTGGAGTTCGAGCGGTTATTGTAATCTATAGTTGGAGACAAGATAACATAAATAAAAACCAGTCACAATGATGCAGCTCTGTTCATTATTTGCATTCTCTTAGACCGTTTCTGTTCCTCGAACTCATTCTTATCAAATCATATTTCCTATGTCCAGCGTATTTTTATCAGTACTGATATTTTTATTAATACTACAGTGGTATTCATCTTGCTATGGTGATATAAAGTGTGGCACATAATTGGAAGTTTTCAATATTTTTGCTCATAACTGATTAACTTCACTTGCACACGATATCAGTGATGAATTGTTTTTAGGCCAACAACTCTCACCAGTCTATCTTCCTTCACATTCATTGTTTGAATCCTTACCATGTCAAAAATGACCTTAATTTTATTGTGTTTATAAAAATTAAATAACTTTTTTTCCAAAAAAAATTTGTTCTCAATCCACAGATTCGTCTTCTGTAAATTCAACTAGTGATATTTCCGGTAGATATTTAGAGTCATCTACATCAAATAATAATAATTCGCACGTCGTATCAGGATCTTCACATTATTTCCTCAGTGAAAGACTTGCGTTAGAAATACTCAACAATGAGAATATTTTCAATTTTACAGGAATTGACATGTACAGTGGTGGTAGTAGTAACGAGAATTTTTTTACTTTAAATCCTCCATCTGCAACCGTTGAAGATGAAATTAATGATGGTGATGTTGATCACGATGGTGATGATTCTGTGGATTCTGATTTTTCGGAAATTAAATGTATACCTAATATAGGAGTTTTGTCGAAGGGTACAGAAAGTGAGAAATTAGTTTTATTTGTATATTGTATCTAATATTTTTTAATAAATGGTTTGATTTCAGGATTCTAAAACATTCACTATTATAAGACATTGATGAATAGTTTCTAGATATTTATGATTATCATACTCATACGTGAATTTCCAAACGTAGCAGTTGGAAACATAAACATTTAGTGTACTTCACAACAGGTAGATTTTGGCCAGCACGGAAATCCAGGATTCTTGCTCTGTCCTATTCGAGACTCATAGGTTGAATGTACATGTACCTAAGCGCTGATATTCACACCGGGGTTCAAACGTCACTGTATTCACTTCAAACGTCCTATGCGTTATCCACTGAGCTAGTGAGTCCAGATGATCACTAACTTATTCAACGGCCTTGATGTTTGTATTATTATTATTAGGAAGCTTTTAAGTTATCCCGTTGTTGATATATACTGAGTACTAATCCAGGTATGAACATCACTGGGTTTCAAGTAAATCCAGTCGACGACGAAATTCGATTTCTGATCTCCACTACTAACCATAATCCATACGTTCTAAATGTTTTGTGTCTTGATATCTATTTAGAGTAGATCCGTGCAAGTTAGTATTAAAAAGTGATCGAAATTCAGTTCTAAACATCAACCACAGGAGAACTTAAACTCTTTTTTAATAAAATTATTTAGTATCATTTTTCTAATGAACAGAAAATACCGTAACTTTATCTTTATTGGTACCTTTACATACATTTGCATACAAGAAAAATGAGTTGCAGTTAACACAATAATTCATAAAAAATCTAAAACTGTAATACAATTAATTTCAAGTTCAGATAATACACATTCATTCACTGCTAATTAATTCATCATTATGATTTAAATTTGATGTATAAATAAATAACTCACATTTCATACATAAAATGTTGTTTCTGATTTCTTTTACAGAACTCATAGAATTGTCTGACTGTTACACTTTCACTTTCGATACTAGCCTTTATGAATTGTGTCTTCGTAGTGCATCTGATCTTGCTCAAGAACCTGTTGTATCACAGATTTTACCATCAACTATAGTGTACGTTAAAATTAGTTTTTTGTTGTTCATCTTTTAAGTTTTTTTAAACTTAACTGGTTATGTTTAGTTCATTTTTATATGTTAAGAATTTATTTGGAATTTCCTATTATAACTGGTCTTGTCCACCAGCGTTCATATACCTGTATGATCATGCCACTTGATTGAACTGTGCTGTTCAGGTTGTAAAAACCCTGGATATCGTCTGGTTTTCTTGGAAGCCAGAGTATAATGTCCCTCTAGTAGGGTATACTTATAACTGAATTGTGAATTATGATTTGTCATAAAGTTTTCTCCATCTCTGACTGTTCAGTTTGTTTCGCCTTCGCAAATTTCGTCGTTCCTATTATGCTTTGATACCATTAAATTTCGACAAAGCAGTTTTAGAATTAATTGACTTTGGACAACTTCTCTACACTCAAGTAATGGGATTGTGAATTAAGCTTCAGTGAAAAGGGTTACATACCTCAAATGATCATTAGATCTAGAACAATGCTGGTAATTATTCCCAGAGTTGTTAACATTTTGATTAGCAAATTTATAGGAAGTTGGTTAAAATAGTTAAGCACATATCTGAAAAAACTATCGTTATTCACTAAACAACCAAAGAATCTTAAGTGACTTTATGAGAATATTATATTACTAAATACCTGTAAGACTGCGAAAAGCTAGCGGCATTCATTTAGTAATCGTTTCATGGTTCGCATCTCAGCTATGACCAGCAACTGTTACAGAAAAACTGAAGATACTACCATCTCAATTAATTTTTAGTGGTTAAGTTGCGGTTTATATTCATAACTCAATGATTACAAATAGATTTCTCAAATAAATCTATTCCTTTCTACGGAGTAAAAAATTTGTGCTTCAAGTATTATTCCTTGAACCCTAAGATCGCCAAGACCACTACCAACCTAGTCACTTTCCAGGTACATTAAGGAAAAGTATTTTTCCATAGTGCAGGCAACTAGGAAGCGATGACCACCTCCATACCTTTAATAGCACTCGCAACTGACGTAATGTTCCATAAATGACTTTACTATATTCGACATGTGATAATGAAGCTTTAATAATCGGTAACAAACTACCTATTTCTTCTTCACATGTATACTAATTTTTATTCGAGCATAAATTTGACTCTCATGATTGTGTCCATACATAAGTGCTAACTCTCAGATACTTTTATCTTGTTGCGATCTGTTCTACTGAATTATTCAGTCATTTGGCGATTTATGTAATTTTCTACCGCTTTTTTTGTAGGAATGATTTAAAACATCTATATTCACCTCATATTTATTCGATGCGTCGATCACGATTCGGATAATCTGAATAAGAAAGATTACAAAACCTCATTTTCATATTTAATGTTCTAAAAGTTTCATTTATAAACTATATAATATCCTGACTTGTAAACCTTTCGCTATAATATCGTGTACATTCATTTTCCAAAAATGTTTTGCAATTACCAATTCATGATTTCACCTTCAAAGTGTAATCCTTCTTATTTTTACCCGTTGTTAAACATCCCTCAAAGGGTTGTTAAGGCGTTAGTTTAGTAATTTCAATCACTCGTTCTGCTGTCGGAAAAAAATAATAAACGAAAGCTCCCTCACAGATTATGATGTCAATGAGCGAAGTTTTATGGTTGCTTTCGAATGACGCGCAATCACAGAGTGAAAGTAACTCATGAAGAAAATAACACAGTGAAGTCGATTGAAATTTCGATAGTACTATATTTTAGTTGTAATAGTTTCAGTGTATTCAACTTGTTTAACGAGACTTTGTCTTGAATCTATAATCTTCCAAACATTTTATGAACAACAGTATTTGAAATATCAATCGTGGACCGTAACCCATGTCAAATGTATCTACAGTCACGTTTCAGTATATAGAGATCATTTAAACGATTATTTCGGAGACTTGGTTGGTTGCTTTAACTTCTTAGCTTACAAAAGATAACTGGTTTGTGTTTTGTTTGAAAAGATTCTTGTCACATGTAGATTCTGGATACTTTGTGCTGCTGCGTTTGCGTGACATCAAGGATAAATATGAAGATGGAAGTTCCAAATATTTGATTTTCAATTCCTTCCTATTGAGCCGACAGTGCTATCGCGGAAGTTATAAATTATAGCCAAATTAAGTTCTAGCTCAGTAGTTAAAGCAGTCGCTCTTCAACCAGTAGGTCATAATTATGAATCTTGCTGTAACTACTTCCGCCGAAGGTGTAGAAAGTCAGCTCTCCCTCACAAAATACTCACATGTCCACGAGTATACAGCCACTGTCGGGAAAGTTCTACTCACTGCCTTCTCGTGGCATTAGTTGTTTACGAAATCGAGAGGCCGAAAAGCGAATGTCCGACGCTCTAACTGGGTTGGTGGATATGGAAGATCCACCTAGGGGAGTTGGAAAACCCTGACTCCAAACCAATAGTTCACATGAACTCTGGGCTCCTTAGTGAACAAATGTCGTACGGACCAGTTATTGGTCACCTGCTACCATGTGAATGCATCTCTTGACATTGTTCAACTGAGTTGTCGATCAGACCTTTAGGCCGAAGCCTTTTGGTGTGGCCCTCCAAAAAAACCACGTGCTTCGGTCTGAGCACCCGTGCAGTATCACAAACGCAAATTAAGTGACTTTTGTGGCGCATATGTATTCGGTGCCCCTTTGTACTAATATTTATGTGTTCAAATAAATAAATAAATACTTCGCTATGGATGCTAGGTAGCATCACTAGTTCTCACAAAAGCAGTCTGACACAAAGGTGAGCGCGTAACTTTGCATTTGGCAAGTGAATTATTACATAATTATTAAGGTGAATGACTGAGCCTAGATCATTTGGTCTCATTTCACAGCGTAATCTGGGTACACCTATCCGAGATATGATAAGCACAAAAACTTTGTGACAAACAAAAGCTGCTGCAGTTCACAAATTGTAGTATTTTAATTAGTTGTAAAGTTTCGCCGAATTACCTAAGTGAATTTATTGTATTCCGTTATCTACCGAGCATTAACCTTTGTTTTCTGAAAAGCTTGTGCTAGTCAACTCGTGAAAAATAACTTCGTATTTTTTATGCCTAACTAATGAAAATAATTGTGTTTGTTATCTTTAAAAAAAATATTTCTTCATATTAAATGTATATTTGTTTGTAGAACATTATGTAAATTCTATATTTTTATCCGTAAAATTTGATTGTAATATAAACGCAATTCAATAACAAACAACATCGGTAAATGCATTTTCATTGACGGGATACGCTTATGGGTGTGTTCGCCATATCCATTTTTCTTCGTTTACTAATTGTTGGTGATGCTCTAGAATCTTGGCTGGGATTGAATAACTGACAACAATTTCAAAAAACATTTAACTTGTTAAGAATATAAAATAATTTGGACTATACATTTAAAATAACAATGTGCATAATCCCGAAATAAGTATTGACACTGGATAACCCTATTTCGTAAATACACACAATATTCTATAGAATTTCTCTCACAATGACACCCGTTACCTAATTAATCTTAAGTACTGATGTAAAGGAAATGTTCAAGAGTTACTTAAAAATAGTTTGAATGTAGGTTCAAATAAACATATGAATTAACAAGAAAAGTGTAAAAAATAAAGCTCTTTGTTATCAGTGAGGGATTCTTCGCATTATCAATTCTAAGTTTGCCACCTAATATTCCTCAGTTTGACCAAGATTGAAAATTACCTTGGTTTCTGAAAAAGGTATATATTACACAATAGTACCAGCTCTTACTGTCTTTAAATGTTTCCAAGTATATGAGTCTGCGAAGCATAATACTTCTTTTATGTTACGCTATCATTCTTGGTACATTTCAAAATGTTAGAATTAGCATGGCTACTTAGAAAAGCTTTGTATATCCAAAATCATCACAAATAGTACGGAAAAGCAATATTGCTTCTTCCATTCCTTCAGCAAGAAATTGGTCTTACCTTTGTATAACTGTCTGATTCAATCATAAATTTAGTCTGTTCGAAAATCCTAATTACTAAATGACATTCATAGTCTAGTGGATGTAGAGTTTCAAAAGGTAATAACGTGAAACAGCTGTTCACTAAGTATTCACGGCTGTGGAATTTGAGACTGCTCCTGGCGAAAAAATTCAACGTAAGAACGCTCAGTGAATTCGCTTAGTATGGAAGATCTGTTTAGGTAACTTGAGCTTTTTTAATTTACGAAATAAGGAGATTTGCTGCCATAGATGACTTAATACAACTTGCTTCATAAGTAGCTAAGTTGACAGAATCTTAGACGTACCTCATCGTATTCCTTTTCTGATACAGATTTTGATGCACCGTGAGCGCGTTTCTAAAAAGGAATGACCGAATACATGAGTAATGGTTTTTAACATCAATGGACACTCCGATAGTTACAAAAAGTTTGTGAAAGGTTGCTAGAAAAGCTAAAGCGAAAATTTGCAATAACCTTAGTCATTGCACTATGAAAGTTCATCTTTCAGTGAAACCAGATACTAAACATATTTTTCGTTCGGAACGTCCTGTACCATATGCTGCTCTTGAATTAGTTGATCAGGCCTTTAGTCGTTTCCAACAAGCTGGTGTAATCCAAGCAGTCAACTACTGTGCATGGGCCTCACCTATCGTAGGGAATAACGCTGACGAAACTATACGCATATGTACCAACTTATCAACCGGTTTAAACGCTGCTCTGGATGTATATTAGTATCCGTTTTCAGTTCCTGAAGAATTGTTCGTTAAGTGGTGGAACATGTTTTGCAAAAATAGACTTTTCTTATGTTTGTCTGCAAGTGGAATTAGATGATCATTTTAGAGAGCTTCTAACCATCAACACTTATCAAAGGTTATTTCAATATACCCTCGTACCACTTGGCGTCCATACCGCACCTGCCACCCTTTAGTAAATGATGGATGCGATGTTAACAGGTATACCTGGAACAGCAGCTTATCTAGATGTTATCATTGTTATGGGTTCAACTGAGTGCTAAATTTCTGATCGACTGAATCAAATTATTAGCCGCGTGATGGAGTGTTGTTTCCAACTACCTGAAGAAAAGTGTATCTTGTTCATGCATTCGATGAAATCTCTTTATTTTGTCTTCAATAAGAACGGTAGCTGACCGGATCCAGCCAACATAGAAGCCATTCAGAAGATCCCTGCACCGACTGATGTCTTTTCATTAAGATCCTTCCTGGCACTAGTTAATTACTACTCATTTCTCCTTGAAATGCGTCGAGTGCGAGGTCTCTTGAATAAATTACTTTCAAAACACAAACTTTGGCAATGGGCAGCAGAATTCCTAGCATTTTTTGACAAGTTCATATCCATGCTCAGCTCGAAGCTTCCCTCAACACACTTCGATTCCCGCATGAGAATTGTTGCTGCATCTGATCCCTCTAGTCGTGGAGTTGGGACACTGATATCTTACCTGTTTCTAGATAAATCAGAGAAGATGTTTGCTTATGCTACTAGATTACTCAAATCAGCCGAACGGAACTACTGCCAGGTTGAAAAGAAAGCCATTTCAACAATTTTTGCTGTTAAACGATTCCATAAAATGCTCTATGGCTGTATGTTTACTTTACTGACAGACCACAAACCATAAATTTCAATATTTAGTTTAAAGAAGGAAATACTTTTTTATACGGCTAAAAGATCAAAGCACTGAGCGACAATACTTCTGAGCTATGACTTCAATATCAAGTATCGGTCAAGTCGACGCTCTGCCTCGTTTGATTGGAGTTCAACACGCTGAATCAGAGGACATGATCACTGCTTCCATAGATGTAGATCCAGAAGTACGGAATGTATTAGTAAATGCCATTCGAAACACTCCAGTGTCGTCAGATGAAGTCAAAGAAGAAAATCTTCGAGACCGAGTTATGCAAGAATTTAATAAGTTCCATCTAGAAGGATAGCCCTTCAAGATAATCTCGAGAAAGCGTCGGCGCAGATAATCTCAATCAATGGTGACTGCCTTCTATTTGCCGAACGTGTCATCCCAAAGAAGCTGCAACCAGCAGTGCTTGAACATTTGCACGCAGGACATCCCGAAATAAATTGGAGGAAGGCGCAAGCATGAAGTCATGTGTAATGGCTACTTTTAGACGCCCAACTGGAGCAGCTATCCCTTTCGTATATTAAATACGCATTAGCAAAAAAAGCACGGCAGTAAACTGGGCTGCAATCATGGCCAATACCACAGTCATTGTGACGGTGTATACAACTGGACTGCGCTGGTTTACCTCACGGACAAACTTACATTTTGGTAGTTATTAAATACAGCAAGTGATCAGAAATTCTTTTTATGAAACATCAAGCTGCACAGTCAGAAAACTACGTCAACTATTCAGTCGTTTTGGGGGTTCTAAAAGTAATAGCTAGCGATCATGGAACACAGTTTACGTCTACTATCTTGAAATTTTGTCGGCAAAACTAAATCAATCATGTCTGAACACCTTATCCCATCCTCAACCCAATGGCTATGTCGAACGCTTTGTTGGCACATTTAAGAACGCTCTACAAAAACCAAATGTAAGAACCACTGAAAAAATTTCAGAGAGGTCCCTGCTCATCTATCGTTTTACGCAAAACCCTCAGACAATTAACGGGGTCTCCAGTAGAAGCTTTAGTATGCAGAAAAATACGGACGCATTTCGATGCCAGCTCTAGGGTCTCAACAACACAGATCACTGTATGGTCAAAAAGTACCTGCTACGGACTATCGTAGCACACATCTTACATAGATAGCTGGTCAAACCGTGTTAAAGAAAAGAGATTTGGTTCAGTAAGTGTCAGTAGGCTAAGAATTTTGGGTGCTTCAAGCTTACCAGCTAAGAGCAACTTCGATCTCCAGCAACGAGACTCACCATAAAATACCTCTTGGTGTTCTGCTGGACACCTTTGAAATCAAAACCCCAGAAACGGACAGGCCAGTCTCTGGTGCCCCTTCTTTATTGCCTAGGAAGTGGATAAACCGAAGGCACAAATGGGCCCAAAAGAGAGGTGTTAGCGGAATATGGATTGGATTAAAGCATATTCTGTGCAAGATTGTGTTTGGAGTACACTGATTGGCAATTTCTTAACTAATTAGCGCTAGCGGATACTTGGAGAAGACTACAATCTTCTTGTGTATAATTATCGTCTTATTGTGATTCCTACTTCTATTCAACCCTGCTTTTTTGGAATATAATTATGTTCCTGTTCGACTATGTTCTTATTTGTGGACTTGTCTAGTGAAGTAAAGTATCCAGGAATACCAAGCAATAAGAGCATCTGAGTCGTAATAGGATAGAATGTAAAAATCTCCGATAGATGTTGGTAATAAAAATTAGAATCATAGAGAATCACACCCTGGCGTATGATGTGATATGTGTTGTGTTTAGATTTAGTTACCGGTCGAAAAATGTACCTTCATTCTACTGTTAGTCAGTGTACAGCTAAATCAGAGAATGAATGTTAGTTATATGGGGTGAGGTATTAAGACGTTCCTTACCTTTTAGCGTTTCTTTTCAAATTAAGCTGCGCGTGAAAAAACGCACAAAATTTGTATCGTTCATAATTTCGCTGCATCAGAAAGAGATCTTAAGTGATTGGCGATGATGGGTAACTGGATAAGAATGATAGAATTAGTCATAATCATGACACATCGACCGAATATTCTTGCAACCTAGTTGGGGTTACTAGTTTAAACCATCACACGGTTTTAATCCTCACATCACTGACTGAAACAACAAGTTGTTTAGCACATACTGCCGTCAACAACAAAATATTCTCGAACAGAAAAAGCGTGGATGGCTGTCACCATTAAGTATTATTTGGATTCAGTAGACGTTAAAATTTCCTTAACGACAGAGGTTAAATTTGGTTTAACACGATAAACTGACAGCTACATTAAGGAAACATTTGCTCAGTAGATCTAGAAGGTTTGGTTGTAGTTCATGCTTATAATCAGATATATTTTCTTTTAGTGTTTAAATCCTCAGTGTTCCTTAAGCTAGTCAGTTTATTCTGATTTTCTGTGGGATAAAATTTACAGTAATAACTAAATCTCTAAACACAATAAATGCTAATGTTTTCAGAATTATAATAATAGTATTTAAATGATACGATGTACTCTAAAACATTCTGAAAACCGTTAATTATTCTATGCTAAAGTCTTGATTTGAAAGTGCACGTAGTCTAATAAAGTACTTTGCAACAATGTAAAATAATTGCTATTTAAGATTTTATTGCTTATGAATAAAGTGACGAAACCTTAAATTACTTGTAAAATTTCGCATTTAAATTCTTGATTACTAAAATCCAGAGGTGTCAGTAGTTTCCTTTACAACTTATCTACATATTTTACCTGTCGAATACTTTCTGGCAAATGCAGTTTCGTGATATTTTGGTGAACCTAAGTAACATAAATATTTTTCTCTTGCAACTGAACTCATTCAGTTCATCACAGATTTTTTCAGTAAATTCATTTCTATAAGATCATACTAGTTACTGGTTTTGTATTCATATGCATTTCAGAAATTAGAACTATTTTCAGTTGGTGTTTAAAAAGTAAAAAGGTATACTCATAGCACACTCACCCCAGGTGTCCGTCGAATTGTAGTAGATTTTTGAGACGTTAACATTTGAGGGGAAACCTAAATTTATGAAAATATTCCTTGTTTATTATTCAAAGTTTAGTTTATGTGATTTTAACGAAAACCAAATGATTGAATGGAAGTAATCGATAATGATCCAGATTTGTTTGATTTAAAGATGTGTTCCATTACAGATTGACATAGGTCAGACAACCACTGAAAATTAGTGAACGCTGGTCAGCCGTTTCATTCCAATCTGGAATTGAGAAATCCTAAATTTGGATAAAAGTTGGCTAGTACACCTTGATTAAATGTTGCTATGGAAGTTTTGTATTAAGTATTAGAACACACAAACAATACATCTTGTGTTATTTCATTTCATAACACTATGGATTGTCTATCTTGGTTACAAAATTGACTCCCAAAATGCTCATTTAACCAAGTATTACTTACCATTGATGTTTTATCGTGCAAACTAATGCAAGAGAAAAAACGTGGACACACAACATTTTCTAGATATTCTTTTTCAACAAGCTTTTCACCTCTGAAATAAAGCAAATAAACATTAATCAACTACAGTGATTATTACTGTTTAACTCAAGAACTATTATGATATATCCGTATTTGAAGTTTCTGTGTGGTTTACTTGGTGATCCAATTTTCTGACTACTTAATTTCACCAGGTATTTATTAATTTGAACTGATAGCTGCTGATATATAATGATGATATTCTAGAATGAAGAACAGGTCTCATGAATGTGATAATAAATAAAAATATAATTCCAATATTTCGTATTACAGTATACTACAGACTCTTTTCTTTTCAGAAATGTTATATTTTAACTATCTAAAAATTCCCATCATATTCACAGACTAATATATGAACGAAAAATATTCTTCTCAATAAATTCTCTTCAAATTCTTCAATTATATTGAGAATAATAGTTCAAAAACTGGGCAGATCTAAGGCAAAATACATTGTCTAAAAGTATGACGTGAAATAAAATTGTTAATGCTGAGGTGACTAATATGCAATGTTAACTTGAATAAGCTTACACGTTAAATGAAATTGTGAGATTAATGATCAGAATAAATATGGGTCAGATAGGATGAGAGAATAATTTAATAACAAATCCGATCAAATGTTTAGTGTATAAATCATACATTTACTTATCCGATTTTATGGATACTCCTAATATGTTGCATATCTGATGAGCAATGTAGAGGATATTTTCAAGTGTCATCAAAACTCCGAAAAAATCTCAACCTTTGGTTTCTATGTGAGCTTATCATTAAGAAAACGTCTTACCTTCGCGGTCCTGCTCCTTTAATAACTTGCTCCTTGATTAAACGATTGAATAATCCACGAGCCACGGTATACTCTACTCCAAGACTTCTAGCTATAAAAGCGGGTGAGACTGAATCTTCGTTGAGACACAGTGCTAATACACGTCGAAAGAGACAAGTGGCCTGGAAATATTTGAAAATTACTTATGGTTTTTACACAAACTTGACATATTTATGGAAATAAATCTGCACTTACCATTATCTTATCAATTTACTGAAGTTATTTGTGATTTTAACACTTAAGAACCTGTGAAAAACTTCATTTCTAGTTATATACCACTTTCTAAGTCTAAAACAAGAAGTTAAAAAATCTACACAGAATTAAGCTCAGACGTCTTGTTGTAAGAGATGAAAAATTGTACTGCTGGATACTAATGCACTTCCTAAAACGTCAAATAGAAGTCCACATTTCAGCAGTAAAACTGAACTTGTTATGAATACAGTTTGTAATTCTGAAGTATTGTTTAGGTTTGCCAAAAAAAGGATAGATTATTTTACTTCATTGAATTCCTTTTATATTCATAATCGCATACTCATTAGAAGAAAAATTAATAAGTATCCTTTTTTCATCTACGATACAGTTGTAGAAGTCAGAATAAATTAATTTTTCCAAATTACCTTTTCTACTTATATCAACGCATTACTAACTGACTGTTATCTTTAAATCTCATCAACACAATTAATTACTCAGAAACATGTATTTACTTCAGAATGGAGAATACTAAATGTTCACTATTTTATAGCGTATACCTTACATCGGACCTAAAAGACAAAACAAAACATTTAAACTATGTATTACGGTATTAGATCTATTTACTTTTTGAAACTTTGTAGATAAATATAAGATTGCACTTTAATAAAGTTAGCAAATTTCATCTATTCAAGATACTAATACTAAATCCCATTCATAGTTAAAATGAATTTTGGATTAAAAGTAAAGAATGTGTGGTGTTTTTCTACCGTCTCCTAAACTGTATTGTTGAATCCATATTACAACCAATGAGAGTTAATTTTAAAGTTCAGTGAAAAATTAGATAAAGGTAAATACAAATGTTCACAAATCAATCTCATAAGATTTAGTCTAGTTGATAATAAATTATGTGGTTCTTATACCAATAAAGTTTCCCATCCACTAGATTTTACTTGTCAGATTAATAATTCGCTTAAATGCCTTTTATGGGGGAACTCAATGGCTATAAACAAACGATAAGATGAATGAAGTTTGCATCCAAAATTTACTAATTGGGATTCCAGTTGATTACAGAAAAATATAGTTTTCTGGCTAAAACTGTCAGATCTTCAATTGACTGACTTTAACAGTCCCAATATTACTTTTCAGAGGAAATTAGGACACCTAGGGACATTTATTGATTAGTTTGAATATATATTTACCTCAATCCACTCAAGACGACATTCATAAATATGTTAATGGTTTCTCGCTAAAATATACGACAATAATTAATCCTTTGATATAATACACGTTTAAATCTGCTTCCACGTAGTTCTGTTTCACATTATCTAACATTCATCTATGTGTTTCCCGAAGATAAATCAAATCTATATTGATCAAACTGATATGTTTATAAAAGGCAGGTATAAATACACGAAGACTAAGTACTATTAGAAATACTACAATTGAGTAATAACAAGACATTTTTGTTTAGACAGAGAATAGAGGATACTATAACTGATATATTAAAACTCATTTCAAATGGATATACTACATTGACTATTACTCTATTAATCGAAAAACAAAGAAATAAACCTTTATAGTCTTAGGTATATTTGTTGTGATTTTATTCACTCGCAAATCTAACTGCCTATCCATTGTGTCACTGAGAAGCTTCAAAATAAGAGGTCTATGTTAGTTAATGTTCTCTCTGAAATTTATCACCAACGTTTTTGAAGAAAGCTCGATTATTATTTTGAAAATTTATGAAAAATCATTATTTCTCTACAAAACATCCAATTTCAGTAAGACATTTCGGATATTGATGTCAATCATTTTAAAGTGTTACAAATGTGCGATGAATCAGTTGAAACGTTCCAGAAAGACTAAATGAACACTCTTTTCAACCCATTATTAAAGATGAATAAATACTTCTTATGAGCAAAACAAAATTTGTCACTTAAAATAGAGAGTCGGCTATATTGTAACAATACGACTGCCGATAACGAAAGAGAATTTTTATTTGTCCTTATTTGATGATGGATTTTAATGTGATAAAATCCAATGATAAATTACACTCTTGTAACTGAATATTGATGGTGTTGTTAACGAATTACTAAACTGGTTCGTTTGGATAATAGATTATTAATAAATAAATGAACTTTTACATCTTAGTTCATTTTCTAATTATTATTGTTAGCTTTCGGAAGTAATAGGTTTACTGTTTATAGATCTACTGTTAAAATAAATGATCATACTACCCAAAGCTTTTTACTAGGCCACTTTGAAAATAACCAACTAAAAATAGACTAATCAGTTTAACAAACTACCTTTCTAGCTTCAACACCCAAATTCTGAATAGTTTCATCTGTGATTCCTCCGGTTTGAAGAAGTTCAGGCTAAATGATTCAACAAAAGTAAGTTCAAAGTTATAATAACTTAAACTATACTATTTTTGTCATATATATATGGAAAATAGATTCTAGTTACACACGTTTAAAATCATAGAAATCATTCATATGAGGGATTTACAGGTGGTCGATTAATAATTTTTGAATTCCTAAAGTATATACCTTTGACGATCGTCAGTGAAGTAGTAGTATTTTACAGTATGAGCAGGGAGACTGTACTGACTGTACTGAAGTAAAATCTCGATTTTTTATCTTAATTATACTTATATCTTTATTAGAGAATATTTGAATTCAACAACAGGATAATTCAAACCCATTCTAATAATGATATAAATATAATGCACGTTGAACAACTGAATGCCAACTAGATTCAGTAGCTCAGTGTGTAACTCCTTTTTCCCTTTTGAGTCTCTATATGAGTATCAACGAGTCCTCGATAGAATAAAATGCACGTTCAGGACTCCACTACAAGCAAAACATTTCTCAGTATAATTGATCCTAATAGAAATTAAGGAACATTTATTAGCTGCATTTTTAAAATATCTATTAGTTTATTTAAAGTATCACCACTTTCACAGACTTGTAGCAACGTTTTATAGCTTTCATCTGCTAATAAAAAGCTCTTCGCATAGTACGTTACGCTATCTTTTTAAAATATTTAACTTATCATTTATTTTACAACTGAACTTACAATTCCAGTACTAAATTTTCACACTGAAAACAACATCTTAAAAATTGGATTCGGTGTTTTAACACTTTCAACTAATGTGGAAAACAGACGGCTAGTATTCTTTCTTTATAATTAGATATTTTAAACTGAACTGAACAAAAAATAATTATATGTTAGTTAGATTAACATTCAGGTAGTGCAACTATATCCATAATTTTTCCTGAAGTAGACCTTGTACTCTGTATATTCTAGACGTAAAACTAGTTAGCCATAAATGTTTTTTAAGTGTAGAATAATTCAAAAGTTGCTTCTTTTCACTCAAGAAAGTCAGGTAAGTTTTAACGCAAGACAAATTGTACAGGCACGTTTATTTGTTCAAACGTACCACTTTCTTACTGAGTGCAGACTGTGTCATCAAAATATTGATCGTATCAACAAATGTTTGCAAAGCGAATAAAAATGATTTCATTTACTTGAAAAAAATTAATAGGTATTACCTTCAATTTAGCGCAGATCTCACAAACATGTGATGTAGGAACGTCTCCTTCTTGTAGAATTCGAAAGCAAACAGCATGCTGCCATTTATCACATCCATCACATAAAATCATCACGCCATCGTCCTAAAAAAATCAAAACCTTTTTCGTTTATAGAAATTTCGTTTTAAAGTATTATAACAGGACAAAATATAACCAAATAAGTTGTATACATGTATCTTGACCACATACTTAGAAAAACTGTAGTTATTAACGTCCAATATTCTTTTAGTAAATTAAACAGTTTATCAAACTTCATTATAATTAAACACTAAAATTTCTCCTAACGTAATAATAATAATCTTTTAATCCTAACCATTTTTTATGAACCCTTTACAATAAAATCTGCTTAAGTGCGAAATCACTTACTGTTTTACGATAAAACGTATAACTATACATTTCTAATTATTCCCGTCAATCAGCGAACTTCCATAATCAATTACATTTCTATCTTATACAAATCGAATATGCTAATCAACTTTTGTAGTGGTAAACACATTCTGTCAGTCACGATGCCATGTATCAGTTGGCATAATTACTAATCTTGAGAAATACCAAATCACAAAAAATTGAAAAGCGATTGCACTTCATAAAAAAATCTGATTCAACTGATCACTCTTTGGATTATCGAACTAAATGAAATTTAATTCAGTATGAATTACAATATGTACTTATCTTGTCGAAACCAAAATAATCTAAATCTATTTGTTTTTTTTTTGGTGAAACAAATCAAAAACAAAATGGTAATACCAAGCATAAAAGTTGTAATCCAATGCATATGAACAGAGAAATTCTCAATTCATAAAAAAATGTTTTAGATTAAATAGGTTTTAGTTTCAAAAAACCTAAATAGATTTTTTTAAAATCGTATTGATATATATTTTATTTACCAGCGTATATGCAAAAACTAAGTGAAACCAATCGTTTAACTTTATAATCTACCTGCTTGAAAAGTAGAGGTAACAAAAATAATGACTACTTTGGGACTCAAGTGTCTTCTCAAATTTCGTTTTTTTTAAATTTTCTTTAAAATGTGACAATCTTATAAACAGAATGGGTTTTGTGGAGAGTTTTAGAAATTTCACAGGTTCAAATCATGAGTCGATTGAATCTAGACCACCATGGAAAACGTGGAAGCACTGGACGGCCGTTTCGTTCTAGGATGGGACTCCTCAGCAGTGCGCATCCACGACATTAACACCGTTGGATGCCGGCTCAATTTTTTAGTGGTTAAGTGCTCGCGCGCGAAGCCAGTAGGTCCTGGGTTCGAGCCCCGCGTGGTGCGGGGTCGTGGATGCGCACTGCTGAGGAGTCCCATATTAGGACGAAACGGCCATCCGGTACTTCCAGGTTTTCCATGGTGGTCTAGCTTCAATCGACTCATAATTTCAACCTGTGAAATCTTATAAACTTTATGTGATAGAAAAGAAAGATTCAATGAGTAACATGACTTGAGAAATTTCATAATAAAATGAAGTTAAATAGATGCTATTTAAGCCAAGCAGAAGATCCTACTACTTAAAAGGGAAAAAGGATTCATTGAAATTAAATATAGTCATAATTTAAACGAAATCGTTTCTGATTTTTCTTTTAAATAACCAATACAAATCCCTAGAACTTTTGCATTGGTTGCTGTTGTAGATAAAAGCACTGTAGAAAGAGTTTTTAATTTGATAGTTTAGTGGTGTGAATAAATTTCATTCAATTTTTGTGCATTTCTAAGTTTGTAACGGTTGTTATATTTAGTGGAATAACTCTTACTATTTTCGTTTTCAGTTAATATTTGTATAAAATTAAATCCATAAACCTGTGTGTTTTAAGTGGATTGGCAAAATGTTTCAGCATGCACTTCGAAATGTCACAACACAGTGCAGTCAATTAGTGTTACGAACGGTAACTTACTCTGAATAACTTGCTTAAAAAAACATTCTTGGAAATAGGTTAATTAAATTTTTATTTTTATGCTAAACTGATCAGCCTTTTTAACTAGAAGACTGTACACGATACAACCCAAGATATAAAATTTCAAATAAGTCTTGATCAGTATTATTCATCAATTATACATTTAGTAACACGGTCGAAATTTATTTACAAATTAAGTAGTGGTTACCTCAGTAATACGAAAAAAAGTCGGACATCAAGGCTTATTCCAAATAATTGAAGTTTATCACTTCATAAGAGATAGCGAAGTAATATTTCAATCTTTTTTACTTAAATAAAACCAATTTTGGTCAGAGAAAATACACCTATCTATTACGCGTAACCAGTTAGAGTGACGACTATACTTTTAAGTATATGTAGATCATTTGGGATTTTCTGTATGACACTTAGACTACTGAAACAAAATATACGAGGGAAGCAATGTGACTTAAATTCTATTAAAGCAAAGTTAGTGACTACACACTTCGAAGTGACCAGAAATATTATTATTGACAAACTAGCAATATAAATGTATGCACTTAAAAGAATATGATCCCCTTAGATATTCGTCAAGTTAGTCATATACAACTTAAAACTTGAAACAAATATAAGTTTGCCCGAATCCTTACAATTTCTACTAATATAGGAGGAATGAACTAGCAAGATACAAATCGGATAGGTCGGAGTATTAAGGTTAGTAGTGGAAAAAAAGCAAAAACATTTGGTTTGAAAATGGTGAGTAAAATCGAGAGATGAGAAATACAAAGTTCTATCACAACCCAATACTTAGCGGAAAAGGGACATTGAATTCAAACGAACCCTTACAAATAAATTCTAGTTGTGTCGTTTAAGCTCTTTAATCGTAGAATCCAGTGGTCTCTCAGACTCCAATCGGAAATAAGTTAAGAGAGTTAAATTGTGCTAACTTTTTTTAACCTTCCGTTTGAGGTCATTATAAGATGTTAATGTTACTTTTATGGTTCGATGAATATGATAAGCTAGCACGTGATGGACACAGTTTAATATTGCTCTGTGTCAATCTCATTCTTTCATAAATATATAACTGACACATTAATCTTCTAACTGATCTCTCTAGGGATTTCCTGTTACAACTTTTCTGTGTCCTGTGATTCACAGACAACGCAAAATCGCTCAAAAGCGTCATCAGAGTCCAGATATGTGCTCCAGATATAATGACACCTATTTATCGAATATCTTCATGGATGAAAGACAAGGGTGTGATCTGAATGTAGTTTAGTCGATTTTATCGGTCACTAGGTCAGATAATTTCTCACTTCATAATCGAGGTTGATCCCCTTTAACTGAGAACAAGTTTCTGAAGATACTTGCAACAGATGACGTTGACCTTTTCAAAAACGAGGCCGAAAGCCATGCTTTGACTTAACCTGTTTATTTGCGCGTTAAAGCCATCCGCTGCACTTAATAGATGAGAGAGCCTAGCTGTCTGAAGGATATCCGAAAGCTGTAGGTGGAGTTATTCATTTACTTTATCCAAACTCCAATCAGTGAAACAATGAAACATAAACGATGTTTTCCCCTTTACTTCTGAAGTCTTATTGATTACTTTAAGAAAAGTTAAAAGCGATCATTGGCTGGAATCAACTTAAGAAAAACCTATACTGCTTTTGAACTTAGTGATATACATACACCAGTAAATTAATAAACATTGCAGTCAAGTATTTATAAACTCGATGGTCGAACCACACTGGTATCCCACATCATGAGATGAAGTCGTGTCAATAAGCAGACTTTGCGCTAAGTGCAAGATTAGAAGACACAGATTTTCAATGACAAGGGATAATGAAATCGTAGCTGGTGAACGATTTTGTTCGATCAGACATCAAAAGTTTTGAACTGCGGTTTGAGACGTAGTGTTAGAACGAGTAACAATACTTTGTGGACTTCAGCAGATCACAGTAGGGACTAATGCGAAGAAAAATCAAACCAGATGAGGAGGGTTAACAACATAAATACTAAAGGTATCATGAAATGATCAAATGAGTTTCATGGTGACAAATGTTTTTTGTAACGAGGTCAATTAACACTCCTCGGTTGTAAAAACTATAATTAGATTTGAAATGGTAAATATTTTGTGATTGATACAAATAAAATTATTCCTAAGTAATTACGTACTGAATTCTTGGATTTATACAAAAACATTAACGTTGGTCGATAACTATCTTCACGTTAAAATTCCATCGATGTGGATAAAACGTTTTTGGTGTGTTACTTCAGCCAGAAGTTTATCGTAATTTTTGACTTTTAGATTTCATTATTGTTCACTTACCTTATTTACTCCACATGGGCAGCGAGCTTCATAACTTTCTAATTCATTTTCATCAGATCTTAGTGTTTGTTGTTGAAATGATAAAGTGAGGTCATCGTTTTCATTCACTTTACTCGCATTCAGAGAACCTAACTGTAAAGACAATGGAAATATAGACTCAGATACAGTCTATTTGTACAGTGTATTTTTCCTTAAAAGCTGGTCGACCGTTTTATGTAATATTTGGGGATTTCTCGAATTTTGTAAAAAACATCCATTCCATTGTTTATTCTTTGAATAACTTAACAACGTTTAACTTAGTTGTTGTTAGAAACTTCCTTGCAAATGTTTGCTAACTTATATCGTTAGTTTAGTGCTACTAGACCAATTCAAAAATAAGATTCTTTTGATATCCTTCCCTGGTTGCGTTTAGACGAATGAACTCCATTTAAACTTTTTCATTACTTCAAACTGACAACTACTCTAATCAGTATGAGGTAAAACCAACAAATTCCATATATTTAGCTGAACAATAGGAGAACTAAGGCCCAGTTTGTACAGTTTACCTGTAAATGGACATGAATCAGAAGTAGCATTAGAATCAAGCTTCAATGACTTGAGTTCTTGCAAATTACATTATCTGTACGACATACATTAGTTTACCAATTTTCAAGTGATATGTGGAGATAGGCATGACAAACTTATTTTGTAAATAGTTCTTGATGTTGTTTGTATTTATTCTGTTAGTTTTTACAGTTTGTATATTTACCACAAAATGATTGTACATGTTGTTTAAGTGTATGACCCTGAACACACTTTCTTCCACTGTTACACGCATAGCATGACACACGCTGTTAACTGCTAGCAAATACACTACTATACACACACCTCTCGTTCTCCATTGCTCGTGGTTGTGATAATTGAACTCTCAGTCATCTACTGTCTACGTTTACAGACTGCAACCACATTTATATTATATTCTACGTTTGGCTATATCACTGGAAGCACAACAATCTTATTAGAATCATTAATCATCTATAATTGTGGATTCTGGTACCAAACGCAATCTGAGCACACACAAGCCAGCTGACTTAATTAACGCCCATAAATTTTTCTTGTTTTTATAACGTATAACTGATATTTTATAATACTACTGTTTGTACGCAACAACTTTATTACTATTTTAAGCCCATATATTGTTTGGTCCACCATGGATATATAAGTTGAAACAATTTATAACTATTTTTTCAGGTAATTAGTTTGAAGTCTGGACACACAGTTGTGCTGCTAGTTTGTTTGTAGTTGTTTATTCACAAACTATCATAATTTTTATTGACCTCTTTCAAAGTCTTCATTTTGAACCGATGAATTTCATCAAATTGCATTCCTATTTCAATAATTTCTATCTAATCATTCAAAGGATCCAATTTATTGTCATACAGTTTAAAAGTGAACAGTTCATTTGGACATTTAAAATGTATAAATCATTTGAAATAGAATAAGTTTGTGTACGAATAACTGTTTAAGTTTACTGTGTCATGTTATCGCTCTATTATCTATTTATATTAATTATGATGTCATCTGACAACTGCGCAGTAAACTTTGTGGTTCATCAGGTTTTCTGATTTTATTTAATCAAATGAATTGACTACAGTTTACACACATAAGCAGTTGCGATTCAAATCTTGAGTTGTACTGTCGAATTCCTAAATTATTTTCATAGCTAAATGCCGACAAAATACTCCTTATAGTTTGTTTCCAATCAAGCTTCAAATTCTAAACTAAACTTGGACGTCTCTAACAAAAAGATACCTTAATTTTATGATTAAAAAAGCAAAGTCCCGTTGAATTGTTTAATTCATAATACGAATACTGAGTAAAATGATAAAACTAACCGAAAGTTCATGGATGCTCTCATCTTCTTGTGTTGATTTAGTAGATTTTACAGATCCGGTTAATAATCGTCGACTAGTCTGTATGTGCATTTTGATGCTACGGCAACTTCTCTTTATGAAATAACACATACCTGTGGTGAGCCTGGTAACATAATGTTAGTTCAGTAAAATATGTTAACATACAGTTTTCACATTACCGAGCCGTATATTAATGTTATCTTCTTCAAAGTTGAAAATGACATTATCTGCATGCTTGAATCCAGGAGGAACGTAACTCTCTGGAGTAACTAAAATTAAAGCATAGATTGCATGTATACTGATAATTAATTTTGTGGTTCAATTATATACTTTGCTCACTGTTTATTTATTTATTACTTTACTAACAACTAAACATGTCTTTTAGAACTAGCAATTTAAACTTCCTAAAATCTATCACTCAACCACGTAAACTTAGATCAAAATTCATCTCATAATAGCTTACTGCTTTCATATAACGAAAATCTGATTCTATTTTTGAGCGTTTTACATAACTATTTGGAGTTATTTTATTTTATTTTTCATTGACTGCTTGTAGTCAGGTGAATAACTCAAAAAGGTCCTTCGTACAAAATGACGGTTTATTTTGTTTATGATTGAGGTTAATTTTAGCAACTCGCCACTCGTCTTTGCATTCAATTAAGATTTTAGGCTTAATTTTATTACTCCAACGTATAATTAGTTGTTTAAAAATTGTTAACTTTTTTATCAGTTACTGGTTGTGTCGTAACAACTTTACAAACAATGACCTAAGGTCACGTGGTGTTTTACTGTGACAAACAGCAACACACAAACATGTTACATCCAGTTGATTTGCTTGCAAAAAAACTAAACAAAGATACCAGTTGCTTTACGATGAATTTTAATCATAAACGTTAACAGAGAAATGTTCCAGCTGAATTAATAAAATGGCTTTAGATAAGTATATAACCACTAGAGGATGACTGCAATAGAATCAAAAATAATCTGAAACAAGCATATACCCCGCTTTTAGTTTCATTTTCAAAAAGTTGTGCTCAAACTAATTAGGATAGGGCTAATTTCCTAAGCTATTTTATTTATGAAGACTTATCTATATGAGCCAGACTTATTTCATCTCATCGACCGTATCTGAAGAAATACTAATAGCCTTTTGGGATATAATATCTAGATTCATCATTAAGTACAGCAAAGCTCGCCAACGAAGCCCACACAAATTAAAAAGCAAATAGTGAAGTAGTGGAATCTAGAAAGAAGTCGTTGTTGAGTGAAGCTCCATCTCCATATAAAGATGACTAATAACATTTGCATGCTTGAGTCTTTTGCTGGGACTGTTATCTCATTTCGAATAGGAAAATACAAATGGAGGCACACAGCTTGGTATATAAGTTATCAAATAACTTACTGCCTCATATTTCGGTCTATTATTTCGTGATTTATGAAATTTACGTGATGAAATTTTGTGATTGACACTGAATACTTAAATATGCCGTCTTTGAAATGCTTTATTCTAGTCCGTTTTTATAAAAAACCTGATCACAGCTTTTAAATGTCCAGCCTCCTTATTCCATCAAATTCATCTTGACCAACAAAAGGCTATATTTTTAATATTTGACATGCAAAATACTACCAGTTTTTGCACTAATGGTAAAAAAAGCCATCTCCTTTTAAAAAATCACTCATGTCATTGTTACTAACGACATCACATGCACACACAACATGGATCTTTTTAAACTAATCAATACACAACTTTTAAACACAGTGTTTTGGAATAAATAGAAAACAACGGGTTAAATGAGACATATACTCATGAAAATAACCATTTAAATATTAGACATTTTACCCATATTACTAAACATGAATGTAAAAAACCCAATCAATAAATTCTTAAAGCACATTAGCGAAGTGATTAAGCCTTGTGCTACCAACTCAGTTTTGAACCAATCTGAAATATTATATGCTGTTATGCCGTGACTACAGAAGTTATTTGTTTCACATGCAACCGCCTTTGAAACTGTACAACACGGATATAAAAATAAGAAACGCTTTTGTATGTTCCAGGCGTGTAGCATGATATTACGACCATAATGTGACGCAAGCGGTAAGAAGTTTTTTAAAAAGTGGCGAGTAGTATGACATTATATTCACAAGTCTTTCCTCAGGTTTTTGATGAAATATTTAGTGCTACAATTTAAAACAAACCAAGAACGACTCCTTCTAAAACATTTTATCTGACCTCCGCTTTTACACTGACGTCAGCAGATTAGCGCGAGTATATTTGTTTGAAAACTATTACGTTTCCAGTGATGTGATGGCAACATCTACTGTAATCCCGTTTCTAGCAAACTGTGAATTAACAATATATGATGAAAATAATTTCACATCTATTTAATGTTTGTTCCTTAAACTAGGAAATTCAAAACATAAATCACGAAAGCTCAATTACCTTGTCATCTTTTTAATCATTAATTTCAATCAGTGTACTTGTTTTTGGAAATAATAAATATAGACCTTGAGTATATTTTATGTACCTAAGGTTGAAAGTTTCAGTAGAAATTCCGGTCTAGAATACGACGTTTCATGATTAAACTGGGTTCATCTGCATTTGTGAAGTCAAAAACGGTATTCTCATATCATTGTTAATCTCAAACCTTCAGATTACTGAGTTTCAAGATCGACTTAATATTTTGAAGTGAGTAAATCTTGTAAGTAAACAAAAATAAAAGATGTCAGCAATATTTAAAATATCAACCTTGATAGTTAACGAAATTTTCTAAAAAAAAACGGTTACCTTCGTCGTAATACTGCAGTTTCATCGTTATCATTAGTTCCGATGGTAACTTGGATAATCTTTCTCCAGCAGTTCGAATATTTTTGAGTAGATTCAAAGTAGCATTCCGTACTTCAATTTCAGAGCAGTTTGAGATCTCGCATATAGTGCTGGGTTCTCTTTTGTTTTCAGTTTTTAAATCAAGTGATAGCTTCTCCTGGCCATAAGAAAGTCTGAAACAATAGGACTCAATGATGTTATATTCACAAATTTTGCTGGGATGTAAATCTTTGTCCGACAAATAAAGCGCAATGGTCGCTGATTTAAGCTGGACAAAACTTTATTCTGTATTGCTTAATAGACCTACAAAATGACGGTCGATGGCATCGAAACAACCCTTAAGCCAATAAACTATTTTTGAAGAAGCAGGTAAGATAGAGCTTTCTTTCAAAATCTTTAGCTCGATTCCTGAAATTGAGTAATTTGATGTTGTTTTATACCTTCCAGTTGTTTGTCATGAAAAGCGGATTCAGGAAAAATATCCCTGAAATATAAAACATAAGATACCGCAACCGCAAACAGCTTTTTTATAAAAACCAGGGACTGGAGTTCGACTCCTAGCTCATTAGGAAACATTTTCGACCACTATCAAAGAGATGATAAGAAAGCCGAAGTTTACATTTCCAACATTCTGTTTAACTGCTATAGCTGTCGCCATTGTAGTGCCAGCGATAAAACGTTATCTCTTATGAAAACGCAGCACTGGAGATATTTAAAACAAACCTTCATACACCACTCATAATATCAGCGATTGAGCTAAAAATGAGTTAACTGCTTTGAAAATGGTCTCTTCTGAATTTTAGTTTCTTTATAAGGGTTTAGATTTGTGGTAACGTCTTACATTCAGCCACACGATGTATAAATGGAAAACCCTGAGCCATCTTTTACATGTGGTGGTTTTTAATCGTTTAGTAGAGAGTCTCTGAGTCTAAAATTAAGCGGAAGATAAGAAGCAAATAGACTGGCAGTAAGTTCACTAATTCACAAATAAAATCCTAATATATGATCTCTCATTGTTTTGCCATTTGATTATGGGATAGGTCCGCATAACTTGTTATTCCTTAAGGCATTTAGGAAGCTCACCGTTGATCGAATTCATTATTCAGGCTTCAAAGGGTATTTTAGGTTTCAAGTTTTCATCGAATCTTGTTTTATTTGGTAAAGTTTAACAATAATAACAACTCTTTCTAGTTTACTTCTTATCAGCTCTAAACACTCATGTAACTCATAACTAAAGTTGTTTCATATTTTGACATGAATTTGTTTGTTTCTTCCTAAATCCTTTTTATTTGGTTTGTCTTTTCATCGGGAAACGCAATGTGAGTTCACTTAATGGCTTTAATATTTAAACCACAACTAATAAAAATCTCCTCAGGGTACTGTTCAGTTCTTGATTTTTTTTGAAATTCGTCGTGAGAATAAAACCAGGTACACCTGACCGAACATCCGTATACACGTCTTGTGTAAATTGAGTCACTGCTCTGAGTTTTCTCTTGTTTCCGTTAGTTGTAGTTTATGTTTTATACTAAAAGATGTGTTAGTATGATGATATCAATCTTTTTAGAGAAATGTCTGTCGCTATTTATGACTTCCTGTAGCATATGTGACAGAGAACCTCGTAGTAGCTGCAATACATTGGTGGAAGTGGTACTGAAAAATATATGCCTGCAAAGATTACTACAAAACGAAGTAATGGCCAAAATATGGTTAACACTTGCAAAAAATGCTTTCGGTAAACTGAGCTCTCTTTAAAATTAGTCATCAGGAGTAAATTCGTGATCGTCAGTCCCAAACGTCTTAGCACATCGACTGAGAACATCATGATGGTAATTAATATGAATCTCCCAGGTAGAACTTATTATCACAGGGACTGTGCTATTTTCCAGAATAACGGATGCACTGAGATCTGGATAGTCAGTCTAAAATATCATTGAAATTGGTAGCTTACAATTAACGTAAGTTTGCTTACCTACCTGCACAGTTTAATGTGTCTATATCGCAAAGTGTGACTGAAGAATTAGTCATAACTCAATCACCATTACACAAAACAGATCTACGCGTGCTAGATCTTGGATTGAATTGTGTAGTGACTAATAGGTTCTCAAAAGAAATAGCTTTATAAACATTCGATGTTGATGCTGATCATGTTATTTTAGTGGACCTTACCACTAACTGAAGTCATTCGGTCAAACTTTTTTCTTAGATTACGTCTAGATACATCATGGGGCGGGTTTCTTCCGATAACTTCTCAAAGTACATCCACACATTTCGTTACTCCTGCCTACCGCCAACCATCCTATCACATTTTAATTGGTCGTGGGGTCATTTTGTCTAAAGAAATTCGAAAAACTCATCCAAGGCTTTCTAATGAATACCATGGTCTGTACGCTTCTCATCACTGTTTTTTCTAGGTAGGCTTTGTAATACGAAGCAGTTGACCATGTGCAACTGCAACATGATACTGGCAATGCACAATTTTTATGAGTACATACCTCTTCAAACTATAACTGCACAAACATTTATCCTAGCGTCATATCTTACTGCAATAATAAGTTAATTTTTCTTAATTATTCTGTATTTTCTATTTTTTTACTAATTTGACGATACATACATGGTCGTTTATTCCTGTTCTGTGTTCATAAACACGCCTATTAAACTATTTGCGTATTTCACGTCTCCTTTATTTCTATTCCCTTTTTCTCTATTTCCTTTTTTAAACTCAACTCAATATTCTTGTCAATTACACAGACCTGATTTATTATTATTAATATTCTACTCTTATTACTCTATTTCTTTAAATATGGCAAGTATAATACTAGCATTATTGAAACTTGTGTATTATTGCATTTTTGAAGAAACCCAAAATGGCGTCTTCACAGCACTTATGTACCCATAAGATGTTTGTGAATAATAATAATAATAAACTTATGCAAATCTTTTGAGAAAGTCATGAACTCCTTTGAGTTTAAATCTGAGAGTATAAGCCGATGTCTGCTTAATTGACATGTCCACCGAAAACCATCACAATTTGTTCTGTGATGCAGGATTCACGTGTTAAATGAGTCACGAAAAATTTCTGCCTTAAAGACAATTTTTTTGTTGTGCCTGGATATAATATATCGGCTAATCTCTCTCTTCAGTCTCTGCCAAAAAAAAGTAATTTTAAAACCTTAAGTGGCTTATGAAATCCTAATGATCTTAGTGTCTTCATGAGGAGTTGGATGGCATAACTGACAGTTACATATTTACTATTTAAATGCCGACGAAAAATGCTAAGGATCAACAGTACTGAAACATAGTGGATAAAAAACGGCTTGAGTCAATGAAACATAACGCGCAGAGATGAATAGACGGCATAATTTGGCCTGTGAAGTAGTGATTATGTTCCTAGCACTTTTTATCCTGCTCTCTTGAAAAAACTGAAAACATATGATGAACTGCACATCAGTTCGAAGTGAACTAATCCAGCGCGCCAACACAGTGTGATTTTAGCATAGGGGCATGTAATTTAGTCAGTTTCATCATTCTGAAAGTTACGAAGCCTTTTATTATTTTTAGTTTTATTTAAGGTCTCTTACGTTTATTCTTTATCTTCCATTACTCATCACCATAAGTGTGCTGACCAGTATTCACAGGTATTGATATAACAATAATGAGGGAGATATTTAGGTTACTGGTTACTAATGAGACATAATCTAAGTATCTGGGAGCTCGAAATATTTACGATTCGACCATTCGAAAGCACAGAATATTGTATTCAGCAAAGCTTCTTATGGAGTGCATGGAGTACCCTAAACGCTTATATTCATAAATTAACCAGGGGAATAAGAGAAAATGTAGAATCCCAGCACGATGATAAAACAGTATTAATACATCACTAGAGGGGAGCGATCATGGTAAATTCCAGGTATCCTCAAATTACTTTAGAAATGTATATACTGTGAAGATGCTCCTCCTCTCGATTCATACAACTTCCTCCATACGCACTCTGGACAGTGACTCCTAATGAACTCGATGTTTTGGGTCTGCTAAGTATGCTTAATTTAAGTAAATCGGTGGTACCCGATGAAACGCATTCTAAGTTGTTGAAGGAATTAGAATATTTTTTCTCAAATTTACTAAGCATATGTTTAAATATATGTCCGCAACCCAGGGTTGATTACCAAAAGGCTAGAAGAATGCTATAGAAGTCGTACCTTTAAAACAGAGACGAGACATGAATCTAAGAATTATCGTTCAGCAAGCCTAACCAGTCTGGTTGTTAAAATTTTAGAAAAGCTTTTTTGGAAAAAGTTATGTAAGTATCCAGACAAAAAGCGGCTAAAATTGGCGTCTTTTGAGTGTAATAACGAAAAAATTTTGAGAATTGATAGTAAGCTCTTATAGGGTTGCTGCCGGTCCCAAGCCCGGGTAAAGGAGGAGGGTTGGGCATGGGGTTAGCGTCCCCATCCCGTAGAAAACTAACTCGCTAAAAAAACGCTTACCAGAAAAAATAATCCAAACCATTTTAACTCTGCCATGGGAGTTAGAAGGTCTTCATTTAGAAGAATTATGACGCTTCATGGTGAAAGCCGAGTTCCTTCGGAAGCCACGAGGCCGATGCCTCTTCTAACAACCAGAGCAAAAAATTTTATAGGTACATGGAACGTTCGAACAATGTGGGAAACCGGGAAGACCAGTCAAATATCAATCGAAATGAGGAGATACAACTTAGCAGTACTGGGAATCAGCGAAACCCACTAGACCCAAGCTGGACAGAAAAGGCTAGCTACGGGAGAGATGCTGCTATACTCCGGTCACGAAGAGGACAATGCTCCACACACTCAGAGAGTCGCTCTTATGCTGTCCAAAGTAGCACGAAATGCACTTGTAGGATGGGAATCTCACAGATCCAGAATCATCAAAGCATCATTCAAAACAAAGAAGGAGGGGATCTTAATGAATATTATCCAATGTTATGCACCCGCCAATGATAGCAACGACGACATTAAAAATCAATTCGACGAGCGGCTGCAGTCAGTGATAGAGAAATGCCCAAGAAAGGACCTCACCATTCTAATGGGAGATCTAAATGCCAAAGTCGGAATAGACAACACTGGATATGAAGATATTATGGGACGACATGGACTGGGAGAAAGAAACGAAAATGGAGAAAGATTTGCAAATCTATGTGCATTCAACAAATTGGTCATAGGAGGCACAATATTTCCACACAAGCGTATACACAAGGCTACATGGATCTCACCGGACCACACTACAGAGAACCAAATAGATCATATTTGCATCAACAAAAGATTCTGAAGGACAATGGAAGATGTGAGAACCAGGAAAGGTGCTGACGTAGCTTCAGATCACCACCTAGTTGTAGCCAATTTGAAACTGAAGCTAAAAAGGAACTGGACAAGTGGACAAACAGCAATACAAAGGTTCAATACAGCCTTCCTTCGAGATACTGACAAACTCAATGAATTCAAGATAGCTCTCAACAACAGGTTCCAAGCCTTACAAGATCTAGTGAAAGAAGAAGAAACTACTATGGAGGACAACTGGAAAAGTATTAAAGAAGCATTAACTTCAAAATGTCAAGAGGTTCTCGGTCTAAAGAAATACCATCATAAGGAATGGATCTCTACAGAAACAGTGGACAAGATCAAAGAAAGGAAGAACAAGAAGACAGCAATTAACAACAGCCGAACACGAGCAGAGAAAGTCCAAGCACAAGCTGAATACATAG